ACTAACCGGGCTTTATGTCGTGTGACTTCTCCTTTTGCATCCCTTTTGATTTTGTATACCCATTTTAGTCCAATGGGTCGATGCCCTGGGGGTAGATCCATTAACTCCCAAGTGTTATTCCTTTCAATAGAAGCTATTTCACTTTCCATAGCTTGTTCCCATTCTTTGTGTCCTGAAGCTTCCCTGAAATTGGTTGGTTCTCCTTCAGTAAGAAGAAGATTATACACTTCATTTAAATCCTTCCACCCTCGAGGTGGTGTATCATCATATGTTTCCTCTTCTGCCATGTGTGGATCTGACAGATTATTTGTATCAGTTTGAAGTCGAGGCAACATAGGTCCTCGCCCCTTTACTGTTATTTCAGGACTACTAGCATCACATTGGGTTATGCTGTCCACATTGGTCGATCTGCTGCTTTGTGGGCTGTTCAAAAATGGGCTGAGTGGGCTGCCGAGTTCAGCAGGCTCATCTTCAAGATTTTGGGCTGCTGAAACATCTTCAACTGAATTCATGTGTATCACAAATTCTCCTTTGTGATTGGGTTCTTGATTAGATTCTTGTTGTAAATCCCAATCCCATTTGCGTGCTTCATCAAACTCTACATCCCGGCTGATCACCAGCCTCATTTCTTCAGGATCATACATTCTATACGCCTTGGTTCCTGGTTCTGTTCCCAAGTAAACCATGGGAATACTTCTGTCATCAAGTTTATCTACTTGATTTGAAGGCACCTTTACATATCCAACACACCCGAACACCCGTAAATGATCCAGATTTGGTTTCCGACCTTTTAGAGCCTCATATGGTGTCTGATTCTTCAGAATTCTTGTGGGCAGCCTATTTAAAACATAAACAGAGTGACGTACAGCTTCAGCCCAGAAACTTTGTGGCATATCCATTGCTTTAAGGATGCTCCTTGTTGTGCTCATCACCGTTCGATTCCTCCTTTCAACGACACCGTTCTGCTGTGGTGTGTAGGGTGCAGTTAACTGTCTTGTGATGCCAGCATATTCACAAAACTGTTTGAACTCGTTGGAAGTAAACTCTCCTCCCCGATCAGTCCTAAGGACCTTTATTTTCCTTCCA